GCAGTTGCAATGCAGTTTGAGGTTGATCGTCTCCTCGGGATCCCTGCTCTTGAGCGTTGTGCACAGATCCTGCCAGAGCACAAGCACTTGACCACCCGTTTCGTGGTAACATGGCGATGCAAGACCATTGCAGGTTGCACATACTGGCTTCGGCGAGCCAGGCTTGTGGCACGTGATTTTGCATTTTTGTGCCCAGGCCGTACCGATCTGTTTTCCCCTGCATCGAATGCTTTGCAAAGCAAGATCATCCCATGTGTCTTCATTGACAACTACCATAAGGGTTGGCAACTGGTATCACTAGATGTTACAGATGCTTACTTGAATTGCCCGCAGGCGGAGAACACATGCACAAGTGTCACGATCAATGGCGAACGCTTGTATTTCAAGCTTCTCAGGCTCCTTCCGGGCCAGCGTGAAGGGAGCCAAACCTGGTTCTATCAGTTTACCGATGCCTTGAAAGCGGGAAGCCGCGTGGAGCTGATGCAGGAGGTGCCATCGCTTTTCCGGTTCCAGCCGAGTGACGGCGGAGGCGGGGGACTTGTGCACGTCGATGATTTGCTTGGCACAGGACCTGCAAGTGTGATCAAGTGCATGACTGATCATCTTGAAAGGGATTACAAAGTGACTGTGAATTTGATTTCGGTGCCAGGCCAAGAGGTTCATTTTCTTAAGAAGCGGCATTATCTTTTGTCGAGCACAGAGTTGCTGATTGAGGTGAGCCCAAAACACTTGGAAAAGTTGAAATCTTTGTGCGGCCATCCCAAGCACCGAAAATCACCTCTCCCGTCCGGGCGGTTGCCCACGGAGAAGGAGGACGATGCACCATTGTCCCAGGATCAGGCATTTCGCTTTCGATCAGCCGTTGGAGTGTTGCTTTACCTGCAGTCAGACCTCCCGCATGCTATGCACAGCATTCGCCACTTGTCAGGCTTTATGTCGTCCCCGACCGTTGGGGCATGGGCAATCCTACGGCATTTGGTCGGTTACTTGAGTGCCACTGAGGGGTACTGTGCATGCCTTACGGCCGGAGGCATCGGACACGGTGTGCAAGTGCATCGCCCAGGGATCAACGTCATCGAGACGTTTAGTGATGCTGACTGGGGTGGATGCCGATCCACCCGACGCTCTGTCTCGTCGTCTGTGATTCTTTGCAACAGCAAGTTTATCCATGCAGCGTCCAAAACGCAAAAGTCGATCGCACTCTCCAGTGCGGAATCCGAGTTTGGTGCCGCGGTGTCAGCCGCGATAGATGGAACCCTTGTTGCAAGCATGATGCGGTTTGTGTCTCCAGAGCCAACGACACCACCACTCTTGATGATTGACAATTCCGCTGCCCGCGCGATCCTTCAACGCGCCGGGGTCGGGCGTGTGCGCCATCTTGATGTGAAGTTGCTATGGACGCAACAACGGGTTGCGGAAGGATTGCTGGAGGTGCTGCCGGCACCCACGCGAACCAATGTCGCGGACATTGGCACGAAGCTTCTTGGAGTGCAGCGGACAGAGTTCTTGCTTGGCTTGATTGGGTTTAAGGATTCCCGAAACGGTTATGCAAGGGTTGGAGATGCAATCTTGAATGCTGAGCAGAATGTCCATGCAATTCGCAGTGTGTGCAAGGATCTGACAAAGATTGCGAAAGGCGATGCCACAGCCAATACCGCCCGCATCCTTAGTGTTATCTTGATTGCCATGCAGGCAACAGGAACCTTGGGTGCAGAAGACGAAAACAATGCCAATGATGACGACGACGCGACTTTGAGCTTTCTTGATAGCATTCTTGAAACCTTTGTGCGAATCGTCGGCTATGCATCTGCAGTGTATGAAGCATACCCTTCGACGTGTGTTGCGGTGTGCCAGTGCTTTGCAATCACTGCATTCTTGATGTGCGCATTCATGTGTTGTGACCGTCGTGTCACAGGTCCGGAAACATCCGTTCAGGTGCGCATTGGATCCGAGATTGCAGTTGATGTGAAGGCGAGTCACATTGCAGAGCCAAAGGCCAAATCTGTTGTGCCAGTTCGCGGTGCACGTGCCAAGAGCACGAGCAAACCAACGTTTGATGATGCAGATGAGCGAGCCCAGAGTCCCGGGGCACTTGAGTCACATGGGTCAAAGGGTAACATGCCAGGATCGTCGACAGATCGTCCAATGCGGTCCAGCAGCGAGGCCAGTGAGAGGATCCCGTATGCGCGCCCGGTGCCGCGGAGGAGGAATCCCCAGGGGCATACTGCCGATGGCGTGTGGATCTCGACAAGTCAGGGCTATGCTTACCATAAGGCCACATGTGGCAAGTTGAACCAGTCGCAAGGCGTCACCGAGGTGTCACGTGCAGTGGCAGTCGAGCGCGGGTACCGCGCATGCCGCATTTGCAAACCTTGAGTGAGCGTGCCGAAATTCTTGTGATGCCATGCCGTACGCTTGAATCTTGCTTTTATAATGCTCATGAGGCACATTGGATGCCATGTACATAGTCAGTCCTTTGTGCTACGGCGCAACCGATTGACAGGCTGCTGATGGATCCTGTATATAGCTTGAAAACTTGCGGTGACAACGGCGTAATCACTTGAACAATGGCGTGCAGCATTTTGCTGCCAATCCGAATGATGATGACACATTTCCTTGAGCCGTGGAGCGGCTCTCAGCTGCGATGGAGCGCGATTGGCGCCCACAACGGTAACTAGGCCGTTGCAATATTGTTTTGCAGACTGGGCGCGTAAAGCGCATGAACCAACATGAATCGCCTTCTCTTGTGAACTTGAAGGGCGTCCGCTTGCGCCAGTCAAGCATCTTGTGTCCTCGGCGGCCCACGCCTTGTGATACAAGTACGCGTAGTGTTGTGTGTACAGTCTTAGGTAGAAACTTCGAGCAAAGCCTTGAGCCGGCTAAAGCGAGCCCAACACGTTATCTCAAATGACTAAGTCATGATCAAGTGCATTGGAGCGTGTTTAACATCATGCAAGCTGTTGCTTTGTACTTTGCGGAATCGTTCATGGACAGTCTACCCCAGCGAAGTAGCCTGAGGCGGGGTACGAACGATTTTCCGGTATTCAGTATCATGTTTTCGTACTTGATTTTATCATGCATTTTACCTTCGCTCCTTTAGGTGTGCACTTGATGATTTCGTTATGACCCGGAGGCTTTGTTGCTCAAGAAGTGTGGAAAAGTTCGTAGCGGGGCATTGCTACCAAACGTGCTGTTTCCTCAATGGACTCCCTCCTCCTTGGAAGGTGTTATATGGAGAACGTATCAGCTTCAGGCGATTGTCCAACACATCGGACCTACCACGGTCACTGGGCATTACCGTGCTGCACTCAAGCCTCGTTCCAATGCAATAGCTCATTGGCACCACACTGATGACAACAGTGCTGCACAATCCATTCTTCCGGAAGCTCTTTCCACCACCAGCTATATCCTTGTATACCGAATGAGGAGTGCCGCCACTTCCGCATAGGCCCTCCGGGAGGCGATCCAACTGTGATCGTGCGCCACTGTGCGCCGGGTGATTCCCGCTCCAATCATCGCAATGCGACCTTACCGTCCGCAGCGAGTGTGATGATACTACTACTGCTACTGCTACTGCTACTGCTACTGCTACTGCTACTGCTACTGCTACTGCTACTACTACCACTACCACTACCACTACCACTACCACTACCACTACCACTACCACTACCACTACCACTACCACTACCACTACCACTACCACTACCACCACTACTACCACTACTACCACTACTACTACTACCACTACCACTACCACTACCACTACCATACCACTACCACTACCACTACCACTACCACTACCACTACCACTACCACTACCACTACCACTACCACTACCACTACCACTACCACTACCACTACCACTACCACTACCACTACCACTACCATTACCACTACCACTACCACTACCACTACCACTACCACTACCACTACCACTACCACTACCACTACCACTACTGCTGCTGCTAGTACTACTACTACTACTACTACTACTACTACTACTACTACTACTACCACTACCACTACCACTACCACTACCACTACCACTACTGCTGCTGCTAGTACTACTACTACTACTACTACTACTACTACTGCTAGTACTACTCCTGCTACTACTACTTCTACTACTACCACCACGACTACTACTACGACTGCTGCTGCTGCTGCTACTACTACTACTACTGCTACTACGGCTACTGCTACTGCTACTGCTACTACGACTACGGCGACGACGACCACAGGTACTACTATTTCCACTTTCACTTCCGCTTCTAGCTCTACTTCTACTTCTACCCTCACTCCTACTCCTACTTCTACTTCTATTCGTTCTTCTATTCCTACTTCTACTTCTGCTTCTACTTCTACTTCTGCTTCTACTTCTACTCCTACTTTTTCTTCTACTTCTCCTTCTCCTTGTACTTCTCCTTCTCCTTCTACTTCTACTTCTGCTGCTACGACTAATGCTAGTGCTAGTGCTAGTGCTCGTGCTCGTGCTAGTGCTAGTGCTAGTGCTAGTGCCAGTGCTCGTGCTGGTGCTGGTGCTGGTGCTCGTGCTATTGCTAGTGCTAGTGCTAGTGCTAGTGCTACTCGTAGTAGTAGTAGTAGTAGTAGTAGTAGTAGTAGTAGTAGTAGTATTATTAGTAGTAGTAGTAGTAGTAGTAGAAGTAGTAGTAGTAGTAGCAGTAGTAGTAGTAGTAGTAGTAGTAGTAGTACTACTACTACTGCTACTACTGCTGCTGCTGCTGCTGCTACAGCTACTGCTACTGCCACTGCTACTGCTACTGCTACTGCTACTTCTAATGCTGCTGCTGTTGCTACGGCGACTGCTACTGCTTCTGCTATCGAGATTGCTACCACCACCACTACTACACCTGCTCATGTACGCTGGCTAGCTAGGAGGAGTGCTAGCGAGGGAAGCTCCGCAAATTGTGTTCATCCGCAGCTGCATGTCCAAGCTTGCAAACGGAGTCTGCCAAATCCGTGAGTTCTTTGGATGAGCAATGCGAGCAGCCTTGGCGGCTGGCTGCATCTTCGTGCTGCGCTCGCAGCTGGTCTGCAGTTTGAGTACTTTTAGAGACCTTTGGGTCTGAAGTGTGAATACTGTAGGGGAGCTTGGCATTTCTACAGGTTTAGGCAACTTGCTCGCAGTGGCATACTCATGCGAGCAATAGTGAGGGCATACATATGGTTTTGGCAGTCTGGCACACCTAATTCCAACCTCCACAGGCCGCTCTGGACCCCACGCCCTAAACTGTTTAGGGCTTTTTGCGGGTTCAGGGTTTCGGGTTTAGGGAAATGGAATTGATCGGCTCGAGGGGCCCCAACAAGCTAGAGATGTAAGGCACCTGATTACCTTCTAGGAGTCCGACCCTCTGCAAGTAAATTGAAACTCGACGTTTCGCGACTTGAAGGTGCCGGGTAACCTTAAGCCACATGCAGCTACGTTAGTTTAAGTCCGCATGCGACGCTGCAGGACCCATGTGTAATCCTATGTAAGCCTGTGCGGTCGAAGTGTGTAGTCAGTCATAGACCACTTCTGCCACAAGTTGTCTCCTCAGTGTGTTACCTGGATTGTCATTGGCACAGCCTACAGTTGTAGTTGGGTTGTTAGCCGGAACCTTGAAGTACTTAATGCAACACCAAAACTTTCACTGACGAAACGGGCTCCGGGATTTCGATGGGCATTTCTCAAAAGTATGATGTTCAGCATCGATCCTTATGCACCACTGCCCACCAACAAAAGAACGTGAAAACAGGGTTTTCATGTTGACACATGCTCACAAGGGCTTGAGGAGTTCCAGGCTTCTGGGTCTGGCTTACAGCATTGCGGGGGAAACGGCGTGGGCTTAGGTATCTTTTTGGAGGTAGACTGGGCGTCTATCGTGACCCCTTTCCTACTGCTAGCACTGCTTTTCTTTGGTTATGGCGATCAGACTCTTCCAGCTTTTGGACCACTGGCGGCAGAGCACATTGGAGCGCGTGCACATGTCGGGAAGGACGCTTGTCCCGCCATATAGAAAAAGTACCGAGATGGAATGCAGTCCTAGAGAGGAGCCGCGAGTAAAGCATGTTGGGACATGTACGTTTATGATGTAAAAAGCAGCAGAATGGGGTATATTTGTAGGGGCAGATTGGAGGCGTATAGCGAGGACTCCTAGGTGATGTACGGAGCTTTCGGAATGGAGGGTCACGAGTCCAAAGTTCCAAGTCGACGCACAAATCCACATGGAGGATCAACTTAATTCCTATCTGTCCCATTGTGGTTCACGTTTCCGGTGTGTGCTATGCTTCTCTCAAGTCTGTAAGGGGCCTTGGCAAATGCCCAAGCAGCGTCAAAAGCTTGAGCTTCCAGGCAAGGGTATCGAGACACGGACAGCCCGGCGCCCGGAGGGGGGGGGGGGGGCAGACCAAGATGCCAGTTGACAGATATCTCAGGTGCTTCAGAGTGTATTTGCATTGTTCCGTGTTCAGGCAGGCTCGTCCTTATGCGAATGAAAGTATTCTTCTCGCGCCCAGTTGACCAAACCGAGCTCCATTATTGGCTTGTCAGATGAAATCAGCCTACGAAAATCGAGTTCTCAACCTCAGTGATACCGCATGTCATGCATCAAGACAGTCGGATCTCGACGACGCAGGGGTAGGGGCAACAGCTCGAAGCACCATCGTGGTCGGGATTGCGCTTTTCCTTCATTCCTTAGTAAGATGGAATCAGCTTCTGGACCCTCAACAGAGGCAGCATGCAGGGCATTCCCGGCGCCATTGCCAAACTACGTACTTCTGCCCCTACATCGGAACCTCTCTCAGAGTTTGGATGCCCCAAAACCGCTCCAGACCCAAATGCTAGTAATTGCCACAGGAGTTTTACAAGCTGCCGTATCCAAATGGACCATTCCCGAAAGCTACTTCAGGCAAACATCAAAGCCGGATTCAAACTGTCGACTAGGCCCTGACATCCTACACCCGGCTCAGCATCGACCGTACAGCTCAAAGCCTCGATCACGAACACACTTGGACCCTGAAGACATTCGGTCGCTGAGTTGTTGACCACCTGACCAGCGTGGACAACCTTAATCGCAACAGGGGCTGCATTGGGAGCTTCTCCTTTCGGGGGCTCCATGGAATCCGCTTGCCATCTCGCCAGTTCTCTTGGGTGGTGTTGCCGTTGGTGCACCAAGCGAGGGTTGCTCCGCTTTTCTTGCCGTTGCAACCGGCTGTGGCAGAATTGCTAGACTTGGTTCCTTCTCAGCTGTGCTTGTTCGTAAAAAGAGATTGGCAGGGATCACGGAGGTCTCAATATTGTCGTGGTTGTTGGTTGTTGTTTTTCGATGAGTAGTGTTCGGAAATGTGTGCCCTCCTATGCGCTCATTATGGACAGGAAGAGATTTCAGTATGATCACGCAACTCGCGACTTGCATTCTAGCCGCTTCTACCATGTCCAGAAATGATAAGATATGCACGGCACAGACTGGTCTTGCTGTCTCAAACTCCAACTGGAGATGATGTTGCACCTCGAATTTGTGGTTCTCGTGGGTGAGGGATGTGAAGGGCAGGTGATGTGGACCGTGGTCTCATGATTTTTGTTATGTGCTTTGCTGGATTGCTCTTGGCAGTCGCCATAGGCTCCCCAAGAATCCGTACTTGAAGGTGCTGCAGCTGAAAAAGCCAAGTGCTTCATGCTAAGTACTTAGATCCTAAGAACGGTGCAGACACTGGGACCTTCGATTCGTCCCTCGTTATGAGGCGGTTTCGATGCGCGCAGCTGGGAGCACAGATGATTCTTTATGCGCCATACAGCTTGCATCCTAAAACTTGAGATGTTGGCGTGGTCGATCTTGCAGGTAGCCCCGAAGCGAACCCTTGCAGCAAAACGGGTCCTTCATGTTCTGAAAGGCACAAACACAGAAATGGAAGATACATGCTTCCACCATTCCTTGCGACGCCCAAAACCTACAGCTCCGAACTCCGTAGAAGGATCCCACAGTAATTTTCGGATTCGGAAGCCACAGATCTATGGCTCAGGTGACCCGTCAGCTGCTTTTGACACCGGGCAGCTGGCTGCTGGTCTCAAGATGTAGGTTGGGGGGAATTGACAAACTGGACAAAGGGTCTCGGTCAGAGTCTCAGTACCTCTATGGTAAATCTTGTGCAGCCCTGAGGCATCCTTTCGGGTTAGGGGCTCCCTTCTGAAAGTCCTACTCACTTATCGGGGGCCTCTTTGTTTTCAGACAAATATCTCTTGACAGTAGGGAATGGGGCATGAATCCCCATGAAACCCTTCTCAATAATCATCGCGACAATCGGGATCCGTGGAAACCTGGCGAACACAAGAATGGACCAATCAGAAGGAGTCTAGAAGAAGATACTTTCCATGCAGCAGAACTTCGTTCCAAACGAAGCAATGCAAGACGACGGTGATCAGGAATGCTCCCGGATGGAAGCCCGACTACCCCAAAACGAAAACTCGCAGTTGGACCGTGCGAGACCCACGAAAGTGTTACTGACGCCGTGTCGGTCCTGCAATCGCACAGATGAGAAGCCGCACCAAGAGAAGTTGATGAGGGAAACGACAAAGTCGAAAGCATGGTAGCTGTGCAGCTCTACACGGAAAAGATGCATGACAGGTTGGAGCAGTGTTATGATCACAAGCTCGTGCAAATCTAGTACAGGCCAAGGACGATTGAAGGGATCCGGTGGTTGGTTTCTGGTGGTGGTTCCTGTTCCGCTTCTGCTCTGGTTTCTGTTGCCGCTGAAACGCGAGTCGACTACATTGTGCGAGATGGGTTTCCCTTACTCCGCGAAGCCGTTCTTGATAGTCCCCGCACCCTACCATGGGGGAATACACGAAGAGGGCCGTCCAGAGGTCTTTATAGAGCCCCGATTTGTAGCCGTTGTTCGTGGTTTCGGTGTGGTGCCATAGCGCTAAGAAGTACGATTTGTTGCCGTTGTTCGTGGTTTGAAGTGGTGCCCCAGTACTAAGAAGCACGATTTGTTGTCGTTGTTTGTGGATTCGGCGTGGTGCCTCAGTGCTAAGAAGTACGATTTGTTGCCATTGTTTGTGGTTTCCAAGTGGTGCCATAGCGCTAAGAAGTACGATTTGATACCGTTGTTGGTGGATTTGGCTTGGTGCCCCAGTGCGAAGAAGTACGATTTGTTGCCGTTGTTTGTGGTTTCGGAGTGGTGCCCCAGAGCTAAGAAGTACGATTTGTTGCAGTTGTTTGTGGTTTCGGAGTGGTGCCCCAGTGCTAAGAAGTACGATTTGTTGCCGTTGTTTGTAGTTTCGGAGTGGTGCCCCAGTGCTAAGAAGTACGATTTGTTGTCGTTGTTTGTGGTTTCCAAGTGGTGCTAAGAAGTGCGAGTTGTAGCCGTTGTTCGTCGTTTCGAAATGCTGCCATAGCGCTAAGAAGTACGATTTGTTGCCGTTGTTTGTCGATTCGGCGTGGTGCCCCAGTGCTAAGAAGTACGATTTGTCGCCGTTGTTCGTGGTTCTCGGTGTGGTGCCATAGCGCTAAGAAGTACGATTTGTTGCCGTTGTTTGTGGTTTCGGTGTGGTGCCCCAGTACTAAGAAGCAAGATTTGTTGCCGTTGTTTGTAGTTTCGAAGTGGTGCCCCATAGCTGAGAAGTAGGATTTGTTGCCTTTGTTTGTGGTTTCGGAGTGGTGCCTCAGAGCTAAGAAGTACGGTTTGTTGCCGTTGATTGTGGTTTCCAAGTGGTGCCCCAGTGACAAGAAGTAGGATTGGTTGGCGCTGTTCGTGGTTTCGAAGTGGTGCCCCCGTGCTAAGTACGATTTGTTGCCGTTGTTTGTGGTTTGGGCGTGGCGCCCCAGTGCTAAGAATTGGGATTTGTTGCCGTTGTTTGAAGTTTGGGCGTGGTGCCCCAGTGCTAAGAAGTACGATTTGTTGCCGTTCTTTGTGTTTCGAGGTGGTGCCGGGGCAGATGCCGTACTATCAGCAGCCGGCGGTGCCGGGGCAGATGGGGTACTATCAGCAGCCGGCTGTGCAAGCCGTGGCACCGATCTCGCCCTCCGGGCAAGTCGTGCAGCCCCAGCAGATGGTTCCGCAGTTTCCGCAGCAAGTGCCCGCGCAACAGCAGATGGTGCCGCCGATGCAGATGGGGTACTACCAGCAGCCGATCCCTCCTGGGATGGTTCCATCGTGGACGCCGGTCTCCCCCGCGCAGGCCCAGCAGGTGGTTCAGCTGCCACCATCGCCGATCTCCCCTGAGGTCTCGCCTGTGCAACTTGACTGATTATTAGAACCAATGAAATGGGGGACAGATGTGTTTGAACGGCTCGTGGCTATTTTTGCTTAGCTGTTGCTACTGTAGTGTTGCTGCTTGCAGTTGTGGCGGCTGTCGCTGCTGTTGCCGTTGCAGTTGCTGCTGCTGTCGTCGTCGCTAGAATCTCCCATGGCAGTAGTAGAAGTAGTGGCAGCAGTAACAGCACAGGAGGAGGACGTAGGAGCAGGAGTGGGAGTAGGAATGGGTGGAGGAGGAGGAGCCATAGGAGTAGAAGTAGAGGTTGAAGTGAGTAGGAGTAGGAGTGGCAGTGAGCAGCAGCAGGGCGTGAGCTGCAGCGTCCGCGTCAGCAGCGACAGCCTTCCCTAGACCCTCCACCCGGCCAGCTCGGCCCCCTCCCTGGGATTGAAATCAGATGAATCTTGTTGATAGTTTCAATCATGTAAATCGGATGAGGGTTTACCTAGTTCAAACGAATTAAATCCTGGCCCGCCCACCCCCACCGGGATTTAGTTTATCCGTAAAATATAAAGTTCCGCGAGCCGAATTAGAACTATCAAACACTTACTTGTTTTTGTTGACATATTTTAAAACTTGGGATTCTCCCTAAGGCCCTGCCCATTTCCCCGGATTTAAATTCGTTATAGTATTGACGAATATGGGTAGTTGTCAAAATTATGGTCCCTTTTTGGGTCCCCATTACAATACGGCACCAAATAGTTAGGGTACTTCAAAAGGGACACTGATTATTGACAACCACCCATATGTCAAGTTATGTAAACTGTTCAAGTTCTTCGAATAATGTATTTCGGACCTTTGTTTTCATATATCTGAATTACATCAATCCTGGGTCCGCCCCCGCTCTGGGATTCAAGTTAAGTTGGGTTAATTACTTAATTGCGCACCCCGAATCATATGAGTTAAATAGTTTACATCGACCACCCTCCCAGGCTCCGCCATGTTTCCAGGGATGTAACTATTTGCAGTAGTTGCGTGGACAAAAGTAATTAGACTATGCAAATTGCATAGTTGATTCGGATTGGGCTTTACCTAATATAGATAAGCTCCATAGATAACACAATTTAAATACTGAGCCTGAATTTAAAGCATGTAAATAGGTTGGAAAAACTACTTCCCGGCCCGAAGAACATCATTTAAATGACTTCTTGTGAAAGAAATTGAATCCTAGGACCCCGCGGCCCAGGCCCCGCCCCGCTTCTCCCGGGTTTTTGGATTGTGTAGATATTTTAAAGTATTCACGCTATGTAATTCGGACCGGGATTTAAGTAACAAATCCTGGTTCCGCCCGCCCCCCCTCCGCCTTCGTAATTTGATTTAAGTTACTTGAGCTATTTCAACATTTCAAACTGTTCAAGTCCGCGCCACAAAATTAAATCGTTTAAATGATTGAAATCTCCCCCGGCTCCGTCCCACTCCCCGGGATTTAACTTGTATATGTTGTTTGCATTGTCTAAATATTCAGCTTGTTTCATCGGACCCGGATTGAAGTAAGTTGCAAACTCTAGAGAAGTTACTTTTTGTAAATCCTGGGCCCGCCCACCCCCCTTCGGGACTTGTTTCAATTGCACCCTTTAAAGCATCTACTTCGGCGACCGGAATTCAACACTACAAATATTGTGAATTATCAAATCCTGGGCCCGCACCCCAGGCCCTGCCTTCCCCTTCTCCGGGATTGAAACTATGCGAAGTGTTTAAGTTTTTGAGTTGGGGTCGGGAATTGAGTAGTGTACATCTGGCGGCTCTCCCATATATTTAAATTACGGATTCTCCGCGGCCTCTCCACTCGACAACACCACAAAGATCCATGTAGCACGTCCTTGTCTGTACTGAATATCATGGTAGCAGAATCCCGCAGTACCTCTAAATCGACCCGGTTTAAGTTGAGCAGGAGCAGGAGCACGAGCAGGAGTGGGAGTGGGAGTAGAGCAGGAGTAGAGCAGGAGTAGGAGCGGGGGTAGTCGTTGTGGTGGTAGTAGTAGTACAAGAAGAAGTAGAAGTAGAATTAGAAGAAAAAGTAGAACTAGTCGTAGTCGTAGTCGTGGTAGTAGGAGTAGGAGTAGTAGTAGTAGTAACGCATCCCCCCCGGTGCGACGCCCAGACCTCTTATTTTTGGGACTTGCTGTGGTCGGAAATGCTGTGTTTTACAGCACTTTTTTTCCGCAGATATCGAAGGTGGCAACTGTTCCTGGTTTCGTGTGTATGTTTATCATACTTTCTAACATTGTTCATCAATCTCGCACCTGAAAATGCTGGTATTTACAGCACTTGTCTTTGCGAATTTCATGTTTGTTTACTGTTTTTGGGTGTCTCGATTTTCGTGCCCAAAACCTAGCGATCAGAATCAAAGTTTTTTGGGCCTCATTTTGATCATGATGTTCATCCAAATCGTTGGTTTGGAGAGCATCCATGTCCAAAACCTAATGGCGTCCATGGTCTAGCGCATTTTGGTTTGGAGAGCGTCCATGTCCAAAACCTAATGACGTCCATGGTCTAGCGCACTTTGGTTTGAAGAGCATCCATGTCCAAAACCTAATGACGTCCATGGTCTAGCGCATTTTGATTTGGAGAGCATCCATGTCCAAAACCTAATGACGTCCATGGTCTAGCGCATTTTGGTTTGGAGAGCATCCATGTCCAAAACCTAATGACGTCCATGGTCTAGCGCATTTTGGTTTGGAGAGCATCCATGTCCAAAACCTAGTGACGTCCATGGTCTATATAGCTCATTTTGGTTTGGAGAGCATCCATGTCCAAAACCTATAATGACGTCCATGGTCCAGCGCATTTTGGTTTGGAGAGCATCCATGTCCAAAACCTATAGACGTCCGTGGTCTAGCGCATTTTGGTTTGGAGAGCATCCATGTCCAAAACCTAATGACGTCCATGGTCTAGCGCATTTTGGTTTAGAGAGCGTCCATGTCCAAAACCTATAATGACGTCCATGGTCTAGCGCATTTTGGTTTGGAGAGCATCCATATACAAAACCTAATGGCGTCCATGGTCTAGCGCATTTTGGTTTGGAGAGCATCCATGTCCAAAACCTAATGACGTCCATGGTCTAGCGCATTTTGGTTTGGAGAGCATCCATGTCCAAACCTAATTACGTCCATGGTCTAGCGCATTTTGGTTTGGAGAGCATCCATGTCCAAAACCTAATGACGTCCATGGTCTAGCGCATTTTGGTTTGGAGAGCATCCATGTCCAAAACCTAACGACGTCCATTGTCTAGCGCATTTTGGTTTGGAGAGCATCCATGTCCAAAACCTAATGACGTCCATGGTCTAGCGCATTTTGGTTTGGAGAGCATCCATGTCCAAAACCTAATGACGTCCATGGTCTAGCGCATTTTGGTTTGGAGAGCATCCATGTCCAAAACCTAATGACGTCCATGGTCTAGCGCATTTTGGTTTGGAGAGCATCCATGTCCAAAACCTTTCGAAATCTTGCTTGTTTGCATCGCACCGAGCGGGGATGGTACTTTCCACTGCTAAAACGTTCCTTGTCCTTGCTACGCCGCATCTTGGACCGCGACAGCTCTGATGGAACATGTTGTACATCCACGAACTCAGCGACCGGCGTCGCACCAGGGGGGGATGAGGTAGTAGTAGTAGTAGTAGTAGTAGTAGTAGTAGTAGTAGTAGTAGTAGGAGTAGGAGTAGGAGTAGGAGTAGGAGTAGGAGTAGGAGTAGGAGTAGGAGTAGGAGTAGGAGGAGGGGGACGAGTAGGAGTAGGAGTAGGAGGAGGAGTAGGAGTACGAGTAGGAGTCAGTAGTAGTCGTAGTCGTAGTCGTAGTCGTAGTCGTAGTCGTAGTCGTAGTCGTAGTCGTAGTCGTAGTCGTCGTCGTAGTCGTAGTCGTAGTCGTAGTCGTAGTCGTAGTAGTAGTAGTAGTAGTAGTAGTAGTGGTAGTGATAGTGGTAGTGGTAGTGGTAGTGGTAGTGGTAGTACTAGTAGTAGTACTAGTAGTAGGTGGTAGAAGTAGTGATCGTAGTAGTACTAGTATCATGAGTGTGACTAAACGCATCAAACCGGGGTACCAATTAAGTTTTTCTGGGCTTCCCACACACGCTGAAGATCACGGTGATTCTGATGTTGTTGATGATGATGAGGATGATGTTGTTTTTGCATGATGTAGATTGTTTATGCGGAAGATAGCAATGGCGATGACGATATCTACGGTGATGTTATGTTACTTTTGAGACGCCACCAATGAACGCACAACCCAAGAAAAAAACACACGATATGCTGGAATTTGCGACACTTTCGCAAACACCACACCAAAAACCAAGAACAACAACTTAGAAAAAACATGCTGCGAACTAAGGTCCTATTCACGACAACCACACAAGACTCGAGATTTTCAAGCTTTTTGATTAAAACTTAAAGAACGACACATCCTCCGCGGCGGCAAACACACAAGCTGCCTTCTTCTTCTTGTTGCAATCACGGGCAAACCTGACCCCAACACCAAGGCAAGTTGCCCCGCCAATGCAGGCTGCGAATGGGGTTTCTGGAGTCATTGAGGTCTCGAGTGGGCTTACAATACTCTCGGGTTCACGGTTTGGTGTTTCGCAATCTCGGTTACAATACCTCAGGCTGTTGGATTTCCAATGAACACGTTCTTGAAAGATGGGTTGAGTCCGCTGCAACACCCTCAAACCCAAGACCCGACATTCTGCAAATCCCTTACCTATTGCACTCTGGAACCTTAAACTCTGAACTTTGACCGGCAGCGGCCTTATAGCCATTGTGTTTGCCTGCATGTGAATACGCACCCAGAACAAGCCCTCTTGAAGTGTCCTGATTCGATGAGGCCCCTGTGTTGAACGCGCGAGACTTCCCGGTGTCTTTTGTGTGTTGCTGTGGAGTTTCAGGTTTCAGGTTTGAAGGTTTGGCGAAGACACTAGACGTCATCCCGAGGTGAAACCCCCAAACCTGGAGTTTTAGCCGCCAAGGCCCAAAGCCCGAATACTGCAAAACGAAGATTCGCAGAAGGACCGTGCGAACCCTTCGCTCTTTGGGGCCCCGAACTATCCACAGGGCTGGTCGTTCGAAGTGCCATGTGCTGCGAGGGGGTGACGCCGGTTTATGCAACCACGGCAACCACGACTGCAGAAGTGCCAGAGGCCGCAAGTATTGTTCACCACGATGCGAAGGCAGTCTTCGAAAACAGTAGATAGCAGGAATCACGACAAGCTTGTGCCAGTGGTTCCAAGAGCAGCAATCGAAAGCACTTATCGGAGTAGTGCCTCAACTCCGTGGCAACTTTTTCATGCTTCCGAGGCCGCTGTGGTGCACACGACGCCGCTCACTACCACAACGGAAACCACGATTGCAATGGTGCCAGACGCTGCAAGTATTGTTCAGCACGATGCGAAGGCAGTCTTCAGAGAAACATAGATAGCAGCAATCACCATAAGCTTGTGCCAGCTGGCTCCAAGACCAGCGATCGACTGCACCTTTAGGAATAGTACGTCGACTCGGTGGAGCTGTTTCGCAAGAACTATCATTACTACGTTCGGGAAGACTACTGGGTATGCGCATGGCAGTTTTAATGACAAATCTTCGCCCATGATAGCATCATGACTTGTGGCCATACTGTTTTGGTATGTTTTGGTTCTAAATCATTCTATCGTTGTTATTTCAAGCATGCATGGATCGTTGCCAGCAGTTTTCCTTCAAGCTACCACGAAGCAGTGCTAGCGAAAGTGAGACGAAGCTGAACGAAAATGTGGCACAAGCCACACTTTGACCGGTGGCCACTGTTCGATCCATAACATATTATGTAGCTGGTAACCTTTGCCAACATAGCGGCAGCAGCAGCAGTGTCGTTGGTGATGGTCCCTTAAATCCTAAGCCATTGGAAGATCTTTAAGACTGGAGAAGACATTCCGGTCTTTGGGCTCGCTATTTTCTACCATGATTTCGGGCATGGGAGCCGTGTATGTCCGTGATTCGGACAGGGCCTTGACCGTCATGGGCAAGATATAGTACACCTGACGCTCTACTTCTCAATGTTGAGAGTATGGGGCCATAACAAATCATGGGTTGTCGCACAGATGCAAAGTTGAGACACATGATCGTAGAATCAGTTGCTCAGGCCAGCGAAGTGCGCTTCTTTGTGGTTGGAGGTACGCGGTCCTTGGTGTCCTATGTTGGCGAGCCAGGTGATTTCATCTGCACTCGCGTTTATTTAGCTGGTTTGTGAGCATTAGAGCAGGTGACAAAGTCGTGAAGGCGTGCGACAATTTGGAAGATGCGAAGAAGACGCTCATGTCATCATTTCCACCTGCAGCCCCTCGTCCATCGCGACCCTCAGCGCGAAGAGAGTGGTTTCAGATTGTTTTGGATGGAGCAACATTGTATGTGCTCTTGCTTTCCATGAAGTGCAACATCTCAGGACAAATTTGCGAGGTTCGTGATGGTGTCGTGCTGCCAGACCCGAACGACGTCGGTATCGGTGGCCAGAACCAGGGGCTCGGACTGCACGCCGGATTCAACAAATGGTGGTTAGCAGCAGCCTCAGGAGTTAGCAGTGTTTCGACTCGGCGCTTCTGGCAAACTCTGAATGGTGACCGGACTGAGGACTGGAACGATATTCGCCGAATGAACCGTATTTGCCAGCAGTACCAGGATGGTGTGCAGGAGGCCATGGTCTTAGCATATGGTTTGTTGGAGGGCTCAGGCTTTTTGGAGGGTTTAGGTCCTCAGGGACCAGGGGGCATGCAGTGCTTTACCAGCCATTTTCGCTTCCAGCAATTCTGTCACTCTTTTCTGGGGGCAAGCCTTCCGGGTACATTGCAGCTTGAGTTGCAGCCATTCCGGCTTTGCCGAAATCCGGAAGTGTCGTAGCAGCATTCTAGTGCAGCTGCGCAGCCCCCGGCAGGCCACCGATTTGAGCAATGCGTTGGAACGTGACTCGCTGCAGCCACTGGTAACCCACGAAGAATGTTTACATTTCACCTGAGCATGCACACACACACACACAGACGTGTACATACAGGCAGCGAGCGATAGTCTTCTCAGCCATCTGACACACCGTGCTCCAGCCATCCAAGGCAAGGTCGAAAATGTCACGAAGTACTTGGAGAGCAAGGAAATGGAGGACAAGCACCACCTCCAAGATCTCGTGACTCAGATGAAAGACATCGTGCGCGACGTGCAGTACGATACGCCGCCACCATGGTTTACCAGTACAGTGGGCGCTCCCTTGCCAACATCTGCCCGCAAGGAGACTGAGACCACGACATGCGCTTCAAGGATTGAGGCCATGAACCGCCAATTGTGGGACAAGTTCAGGGCCTATGGAAGCTGGAATGCAACGGGGGAGCAGTCAAGCACGTCCCTGGAGACACAGAATGACGACAAAGCCTTCCAGATTGCTCAAGCCTTAAAATCTTTTGCGTTGTTGATGGTCCAGCCCTTTCTTGATGAGCCGGAACATGGACCGCTGGGAAAGCCAAACCGAAGTTGGCGAACCCCAAACCTTTGGGCAGGGTTCAGTTCTGAGTGCCAGAACACCGACATGCGCACACTGCAGGAAGAGCTGGAGAGTTTTCAGACTCTCAGTAACAGCTATGCGCTCTATCCCGGATCACACCTAGCACAGATCTTGCAGAAGGATGAGATAAGATACCTCCAGGGCTGCAGTTGGCGTACACGAAGCGAGTTTTGGGAAGCCCGTTCCAAGAACTTCGTTCAAGGAATGATAGCCAACGGCATTGAGGAAATATTCATTTCCGTGAATAAGCAGCACTTGGAAGGAAAACTCGGGCTAGAGGGATCCCTGCTGTGGACTGTACAGCTCCCAGCTCTTGGTGAGAAGTACGGAAATCCGAGCCTTCTGAAGGATGGGGTGCCGTGGAGGCCAAGGGTTCAAATTCTGGAGATGACTCGGAATTGCTCTGGGATGGGTCTCGCAATTGCGCGGCAATTGCAGCGCTCTATTCTCCGACCAGGTGAAAGCAAGCACGTTGACATTCAGTGCCGCGAATGTGGCGACACTCTGCGTCACTGCCTCATGGACCCGGTCCCACAAAGTCATTTCAATGCTCAGGAGCAGACCATGCAGCCGGAAATGGACAGCTCCGGAGGCGGCCATGCAGAAGCTGCACCCACAGGTCCTGAAAGTTCTGCCGATTCTGCAGAGACTTTGCTTCAGGATTCAGCATTCTAAAATGCTCAATTAAGAGTAAGGTCTTCCTCACGCTTCCTGAAGACTAACTACGTCAGACTCTGACATAAATTTTCAGGGGCTGAGCTTTTTCTCGAACTCGCTATCTCCTTCGCTATGCCGAAGACCAATCTCTCGACCGCTAACAGATAGGACATGATGTTGAATTCTAACATTCTTCTTCGTAAACAGGCACATGCAACACGCCCTGAAACCGAAGATAATCACCTAGACAGCAACATGGTTGATGGAGTGCTGGATCCGTCTGATAAACAGCCGACCCAGAAACAAAACACCCACACCCTACCCATGTTCATGTCGCGAAAGTTGAGAATCACCCTCTGCGGAAATTGGCGAGGTGACTGGTGAGCGTGTGCGGCTGGAGTCTGCGGCATTGACCATGCCCTCACCAAACCTGAAAGACCCCAGCCTGACTGCGAAAGCGGAGGCTGGGGGAGTATGCCAAAAACTGGTGTAAATATAGGGGCTCTTGGTACTTAGACTAGGGCTTAAAGGGTTCTATAAGGGACAATTCTGTCTGGCCGTCTGGCCGAGTCCCAATTTCGTGAATGTCAGAGGCGCGCAGCAGCAGTAGGGTTTTTTATGCAAGTGTAGTGGTTCCTGTTGCTTGACACCGGCAAGCTCCAGGCAGCCAGGGAAGCTCTCAAGCAGCTGGAGGAGAAAACGAAGAAAGCCCGGGAGGAATGGACGAAGAGGTGTTCTGAGAATGACATGCCAGACCTTGACCAGGAGGACTGAGGGGCGGTTGCAGCTGGTAGCAGGCACAGTGGCCAAGGTTGCGGCAAGGAAGAGGAAGGCCAGTATCTTGTAGAGGGATTGGCCAGGGATGCTGCTGTGGGTCGTGCTTCACGGTATCTGCTGCTGCTTCTGTATCAATCACAAGGACAAGCCACCCATCGATTTAAGCCACCCATCGATTTGGCTGCCACGGGCCGAGCAGCGCAGGAGCCATCGGACAGCTGGCCGCGGACAGAGCCGAGCGTGGAGAACGGGAGATGTCCGGTCCGAGGTGATGAAAGTCCGTGACCCGAGGGCTCGACACAATCTGAAGATAGTCGCACTGATAAAAAAACTGCCCTGAAGGTTGGAAGTCACTCCGATGGACCCAGGAGTTGCAGCTGTGGCGAGGGCTTCGTGTTCTCAAAGAACTGCAGGGAGTATGCGCTGAACATGACAATGCCCGAGAGGTATCCTTTTGTCATGTCATGTGCCGAGGCTGATGTGGAATTTCTGCTTGCTACTTTTTACGTACTGAAAATTGTTGCTGCCAAGTTACTAGACACCACCAGCTGACTCAGGCCGATGCATTCCAGACCCACGCGGCTCCTACGTGCAGACTCATGTGGCCGCGATGGAGTTCTGTGGCCAACTTGTGCAGGCCGTCTACAAGAAGCATACCCTTGCAGAGTTAAGAGGCAATCTTGAAAGAGCAGCTGAAGAAGTCGAAAAGGACTTGAAGGGCTCGGCAGCCATGCGTGCGTGTGAAGCTGCTTTGGCTCACGCGGAAAACTCGAGCGAGGCTGTTGATCAGATCACGGAGAAAGAGGAGGTGGGTGGCATCCGTGACCCACGGAAAGGACCCAGAGGGATAGGGATGTAAACTCAACCTGCCAGGATCCAAAGGGGTAAAGAAATCCTCAGAAGGACAGTTTTTTGTGGCTATGTGCAAAGGTGCCTCATTGGGAGGGCGGAGGGGGCTGTTGAGGGGGAGGGAGGTGGTGGGAAGGTGACTTCAACTGCTACCGGAAGCTGGATGAGGTGGGCTTCGTACAACACTTTGGTGCGGGGAGAGGGTCAGGGCAAGGGGGTTGTGACCAGATACTGGTATTGTTGCAGACGTGTAACAGCTGGAGGCCGAAGCCAACCCTCTGCAAAGTTGGCACCTTGTGCATCGACAGAACTGCCATAGGCTTCAAGTTTACATGTTTTCTTTGCTTCTATATCCTCGAAACGCCATAGTTTCCCCAACCTGTACAGTTTGTTTGTGGCTCACCCTTGCAGGACCTAGAGCCCAGCGTCTGGCACAGGGTGCAGCACTGGCCCTGGAGAATGTGTGCAAGGATGAGTGCATTTCCCTCGTGTCCAAGATGACTGAGAGCCAAAGTGATGGCGACATCACCATCCTGTCCTCTTTGGCGAGAAGGGGTGCCAAAGACCGACCGATCCAAGAGCAATGTGCCAAGACTGTAGTCCAGAAAGTGGAGGCTGAGCTCCTCGGGTGTTGCGCCCGCACCTGCGGTTGGAATGGGACCCACTGCGTGCTCTGGAGCTACATGGACAAGAAGGCCCAGGCAACATGGAATGGCGAGTGTTGCACCGAGGACAACATCTTGCGGAATTCCAGCAGAGAGAGGATGTGCAATAGCGTGCTTTCACCACAGCACCTCGACGGCGTTGATCAAACTTTCCCTGTATATTGTGGGATTATTGTCTAAATCCAAAGACCACCCTTGCCCTCCCCATGCCATGAGCCGTTGTCCTGGCCATGTTTGAAGAGAGGGAGAGAGAGAGAGAGAGATATATATATATATATATATATATATTCCTAACTTTAGTAAATCAGTAGCCAAGCAGAGCCGTGTAGTAACGTTGCGTCCCTACCTAAAACGTGGCTTGTTCTGCCCTCGCCATGTCTGGAATGGCTGGAAGCTCTTCGGGATTTGTTGATTGGGTTGGGGCTCAGGATGGCATGGCAGATGGCAGCAAACGATACCAAGCAAATTGCCGATGGCGATGCGGCCAAGGTGGGTCAGGACAGGGCTCAGAATCAGAGAGATAGCGACAGAGAGGGACCAGGCTAACTATAGTGGTTGAAGCTTCTCTTTTTAACAGTCCATGATTCACGAAAGCCCTGGTTCAGGCTTGCGCCCTCCCCTTCCACCCTCCCCTTTGTGTCACAGAGAGGTGCTAGCTTCTCATCGAGCTTGCGTGTGACTCTCGGTCCGAAGTCGTCTTATACGATGCAATGCAGGGATCCCAGGTCACAGCGTTTGTTGCAGGAGTTTCGCTCTCCCCGCGATGATCGCGATGGCAGCGGGCTTCTTCAACTCCGTACTGTCCCTTCTGCAGAAAAGGAGGTTTGCAGCGTGTTGGGCACGTCCTGCGGTGGCGATCACAAGCTCATCCATTGGGAAGCTTGCGCGAGCATGACCCGGTTTGCTTACTTCCTTCCCAAGTCCGGGGGGCGCAAATTGAAGAAATTGCTTAGGTCCGCTGGGGCTACTCAGGAGCGTGGTTTGGAGTTGGAAGAGTGCGCCAAGAAAAAAAGCCTCAAAACGCTTGTCTGGACAAGTGATCCAAAAGTTTGTCACGAGGTAGGGGGGGAGGAAGTCATGAACACGGGCAGTATACCCTTGAAGCTTGGCAGCCCATCCTCAAGTTTTTTTGCAGGTCAAGGCTTTGGAAGTTGTTATCGGCCTACCTTCTCCCCAAGCAAATCTTAACCTGAGCCGAGGATCTTGACAGAGAGACACTTGAGCGAGTCGGTGACTTTGGTCCGGTTTCCGCAGTAGCCGCTGCAGGCTCCGGCATGTGCAGGCGAAAAAGCAAGAGCGACCAGTCTTGCATGCACGAAAGCTCGATGATTCTACTTAAGGGTTTCTGGAAATGACCCAGCGCAATTTCCATCATGAACGTGCAGAAAGGGGCCTGTAGTTCTTTTCAAATCTCCACCTCGTGCTGCCACAGAGGTTTCAATGGCCCTCTACCAAACTACCCAACCCCGGGGAATATGAAGCGATACCAACTGGTGATGGAACCTTGTTATGTTGAGCAAGAATACTAGCAGGAGATGCGAAGAAGACAGTGCCAAGCCGAACAAACGAAAATGATACGGGGAGTCTAAGCCAAAATCCTAAACGATTGCACCCTAACCCTAGCCCTTTACCGTCACTTATATCTACGATTGCAACCACGGGCATGTGGTATGTGCCACTCATTCGGGGTCTCTCTGTAGCAAGCATCTCCCCTGCAAAGTATATAGACCACACATGTTCCACGTTTTTGCGCAGGCCTCCTCACCTTGCGGTTTAAGGTATGGACGAACCTGAAAACCACAGAGCTTAGGGCTTAGGGTTTGACCGACGTGAGCACGACTTCAGGCTGCGACTTGTGAGCCAGAGCCACGCGGGCCTTGCATTCGTCCAAGGCGATCTGCCGGGTGCCGGGGGGAATGCCAACGAAAAGAGAAGAAAACGATGTGCTGACAGCTCTTGAAGAAGCAGAACCAAGAAAAAGCACAGACAGCCCTTGGCCGAAGGCCAGCGAGCTTTTGCTGCCGCGGGCTCGGATGAAACTGTTGATCTGGATCCGGAACGAGGCAGGGCGTCGTGACAGGGACATCTCCGTTGAAGAGAGTCGAAGTTGCGCGTTTTCTGCACCCATGCCGCGCCAAGAATCCGTTTTCGGGTTTGAGATCCTAGCATCCACGAAGTTCACCTTGTATGCACCACCTCAACAATGTGCATAGCTTGAGGCTCGCTGCTGCCTGCACAGCTGTTTCGCGACCGTTTCAAACCAAAGCCTGGAACCTTCGGGTCAAGAGATGTCCTTCGCTTAGTCGGGGTCGCAAGTAGGGGGCATGTAGAAGACTCGAGTTTAGGGTTTGCTCCTGCTGCAGGGGTTTCGGATCTGAGCTGTTGTAATGACTATAATTATTAGTTACGTTATTAACTACTTCTATTTGTTGGTCTAGAGAGAGAGAGAGAGAGAGAGAGAGAGAGAGAGAGAGAGAGAGAGAGAGAGAGAGAGAGAGTGTGTGTGTGTGTGTGTGTGTGAGAGGGAGAGCGATAGGCATCAAGCAGCGACTCGTGCTTCCTGGATTTATGTCGATTCTAAGCACATCTATAGCCACCCTAGACTCGGCATCCGAAACCCTCAAGCATATGATAAATAGAAAGTGCATGTACCGCCCCAGGGGAAGGTAAGCCCTGTCACGCCTGTGACCGCTCGACTAACGAATCGAACATCTTAGCACTGGGACCCCACTTCGAGCCCAAGACACCGGCAGCAAATCCTACATCTCAGCAGTGGGCCCCCAATTCGAGCCCAGGCCTACTGACTCGCCGTCAGTAGGATCTTCGAGTTGGTGATCGTCCAGGCACATGCCGGGCAGCGCTTTTCTGCAGGGCTCCTGCCTTATCATGTTTGCGATAGGGGTCTTAATAATTACCTATACTGTCTTGGGGGTTCCTTATTCTGATTATGGTATACTATACTCCCAAAACCTTATTCTAGTTATTAAGGCCCCTATATTAGCCAAGGAACCTCCGGGACGGTCTGATATGCTCGAATTCTCTAACCATCTGACGTCAAGCATACCAAAGTGAGTTGCTTCAATCCCCTCGACAGGACTGCATAACGGTGAAGGCACATGACGACGAAAACACTACCCAGTCGCACACAAAGTCCAGTCCCGACATCCCATGCCTGTATCTTGCATCATAGAGTATCTTATACAGTATGTATTACATACAGAATATTGTATACTGACGGCAAAGTCGACCTGAGCTCCGCATCAACGCATCAACTAACATAATTCCAGCCATGGGTTCGCGACCCCGGCACACCTATGACTGACACTGCAGAGGCGTACCGGATCCAACGCGACGGCGGCTAGCACGAGACGGGCATGGATGCTGCCGGATTCCTAAGCTCGTGACTCCGGTCAAGAAAACCTTTGAAAAACACTCAGGAAGCAGGCACGATTTCACCACGCTCTCTTGTTGCATTCGTGCTGCAACGTGACGGAATGGAATGGAGTGGTATGGGTCGTGTCCTGCCGTACTGTGACGTGTTGTGTCGTGTTGTATTGTGAGTGTGGTGTAGGGTGGTGTAGGGTGGTGTAGCGTACTGCAGTGTATTTTAGCGCAGGGCAGGAGCATGAAAAGTAGTGTAGCGTAGTGGAGTGTCTGGTACATATGAGCTCAAATCTGTGTAGTCTTGCAATCATTAGACCTTTCAGACACCAATCTTGTTTCCATTCAGCCAGCGTGCATGCATGTATGTATGCATGTATGTACGTATGTCTGTATGTATGCAGGTATGTACGGACGTACCTACGTATGTATGTATGTGTCTACGAATCTGTGTATGTGCGTACGTATGTGTGTACGTGTGCGTAATTGTGCATGTAGTATGTATCTTTGTGTGAGTGTCACCCATTATTCCGTTTTCGCTTTTGGCAGTTTATGTTGTATACATCTGGCCATAGTTCGTCGAGATTCACGTAGGGGAGATAGATCACTCAAGTGATTCAGAAACCATGATGGCTCATAGTCAAGAACTGGGGAGTTATACTTCCCAGTTTAAAATTACATTGGCATGTTTCATGAGACTTACAATCCCATTGGTGTATCTAGGTCATTAAGCTAGCATTATTGCGGCAAGCAATGACCGGCAATCTTAAAGCATTGACACATGCCCGAAACATGGGTTGTTGAATAAAGCGGGGGTGTGTACATCAACAGCGACCAGCAATTTGGTGGTGTGTCCCAGGTAGACCAAGGCGGCAAAGCTTGAGGTGCGCCTGAAACGACTCCATGAGGCAGGGGCCTCGCAAAAGACAGTACCGGTTAAGCTGGAATCCCACATGTGGGGCTTGTCCACTTGACACCATGTCGCTGTCATTCTGATTCGCGCTGCACTTGGCAGGTGTTTTGATCTGCTGGCTGGCGGGCAATTCTCGGCTCCCAGATAAACGCGTCGAGATTTCTAGTGTAGATACTTCTCGAAGAGTAGTTCAGAAGCTCTGGCGATGGAGAAGAAGCTGGAAGAGCACCAGGAGCCCGAGGAGCCCCAACTCCAAGAGCCAGTCAAGGAATCTCCCAAGACAGACTGGACTTTGGTGGAAGAGCCACAGCCGAAGGTCTCTGAAGGCGGTCGAAGCTTTCTGACAAAGCCTTGGTTCATGGCTGCGATGGCTCTGGTTGTGGCTTGTTGTGGATCAGCATGGAAGTGGAGCTTGGAGGCAAACGCGTGTTCTTCTGTGGACGTCCTCAAGAAGGATGCAATGTTCAAATGCTCGATGCGTTGGTTCAGCCGTTTTGGCTTCATGGAATGTGACAAGTTGGCTCTCAAGTCACACTTGCACTTACGCAAAGCAACAATCATGGATGAGGTTGGCTTCGGCAGCTTTGTCAATGGTTGGAGAGCAGGAGGTTACTTCCATGAGAAGGAGCTCGCCAAGGCAGAATGGCTGCACGGATACCCCCTGAGTTGTGAGGGAACGTGGTCTGATTGGGGTGACTGCTCCACTTCGTGTGGGGGTGGTCGCCACTGCAGCTACTTCAGCATCAGGCAGCAGGCCCGCCATGGAGGTCAAGAGTGTCCTCGTGTTGATGGAGCAGAACACTGCTCGGATTGCAACACGCAGCGATGCCCCAGAAATTGCCAGTTGGGACCGTGGGAGTTTGATCTCTGCAGTGAACTTTGTGGTGGCGGAACTCAGAGGCAGCACCGCGAAGTAATCTCAGAGAGTCAGTTCGGAGGGTCTTGCCCATTGCCTGATTCAATGGAGCGTGTTCAAACGGTTCCTTGCAACACACACCCATGCCCAGATGGTGTGCTGGAAGAAATTGGCCGGGCAGTGTCAATGGGCGCTGCCATCCAGGATGGAACACAGCAAAGCGAAGCTTTACATAAGACGAAGCACCAGTTGCTGGATCACCTTCCGATCGTCAATTGCACCGCCGGCATGGGTTCGCAGCAAGCAGTCGCAAGTTGCCATCAGCACAATGCAGTTGCCAGCACATCAATGGACCTCGCTCTGAAGTTAGAAACAGGCCATGATGAATGCGAACTTGCAGCCGCCCAGTTTCAGGTTCTGCTTGATGCGCTCAAGCACAACTTGCCTCACCTGGTCAAGCAGGTTTGTTCCGGTGACCGGGATGGTGCCAGCAGCACATTCTCAGTGCTGGTGGAGCCGGTGGTTGATGCAACGGTGGAGCAGTTTGATAGGTGCCGACAGCCTTACGCCGATTTTGGTAAGCTCTTGGTTCCGTTGAAAAGCCATCTGACGAGTCTGCACTTCGACGCCAAATCGAGAGAAGATGAAGTACTTGCCAAGATCAAGAAGGAAACGGCTGGCAAGGAAGGGGCATTGCAGGAGATCTCCAAGTCAGCGGAGGAGATGAGCAGCACTTCCAAGCAGCGTGATGAAGCGTATCAAGTGCTGCAAAGAAAAGAAAGAGACTTGTTCAACTACCGCCAGTCTTCTGCAAGGAAAATAGATGCCAAAGAGGAACAAGCTCGCGCTGCACAGGAGAGAGCCAGGCGGGAGTGTCGTATGTTGGCCGTGGTTTTGAGTGCGGGCAGTCCAATGCTGCTTCTATTCCGCACTACGTGACGATCTATTCATCTCACCTTACTCTTCTGTTTCCTTGCATTGTTTCATTCTGGCTTCCTATGATCATGGAAGCCAATAGTGGGGCACTGCCAGCTATTGCGTGTTGGAGTTGCGCACAGCTGCAGCCCTAAAGCGCGAAGCAGCGAAACTACGCCAGCTTGACTTGCTAATAACACGCTGCAGCTAAAACTCTGGGAGATGTTGCATTCCTGCGCGCAACTCCCAGACTTTTGACTACTTCAGTTTCACGCAGTTTCCATCCATTATCTGCCAAGTCATAGTTGCTTGGAGTTGAGCTATCAATTTCGCCCCCCGCAGCGAGTTTTCTGACTTCCTTCGCAACGTACATATCTAACATGTGCCACTTCGTTTTATTCCTCTTGTAGAAGGGTTCCTGACAAGCAGCTACTCAAGCTCGGCTGTCGGGCAACAGTAAGCGCCAGATTTATTTCATTTGGCGCCCCTGCAGCCTCCAAACTGCTTCCGGTTGCTTTGGATGACATGGAACCATTGATACTCGTGCTTTATCTTCTGCGTTTGGTGGCCAAGCTGTGTAACTGCAAATGCTGCGCGTCGACCGCCTCAGCACGGTCGGAGCGTGAGTGGAAGGAGACGGAAGGTAGTGAGTTGGGTTGGACAGCAAGAGTTTGGCTGGTGGAGGGGACGGGACTCCGGCGGGGGGGGATTGGGGGCGGGAGAGGGGAGCGGATCTCCTGTGGAGCCTCTGAACGCTCCGGTCGGGGCAGAGGTGAAACATGTAACTGTTGTTCTGGCCATTTCTGGCCGGGTGGTTAGTGTGAATATTCAAGATTCAGTTTGGATCATGCGCAAAGCAAATGCAACTCGTGTGTGGCAGAGCAGTCCCACCGCCCAGAGGCAGGAGCGGCATGAAGCCCAAGATCTCGACGAGTCCTTGAAGGGCAAAGACAGGGATACGACACGTATCAACCGGGAATCTCAGCTGCAGCGTCGACCCTTTTTTTGTAACATGTGGCACACAATCAGTTGTCAGAGTCCAAACGTTTCGCTTGAAAACCCTTGTTTTTGAGGAATACAGAGAAGCATCGGATGCTGAAGAGGAGAGCGACGAGGTTCGCAAGGAGCTGGAAGATGCCAGACTCCGGTACCAGCAGGAGGTCCAAAAAGACGAAGCTGCCTTGCGACGGGCAGAGGCCATGTTTCAGAGTTTGGAAGCAGACTACAAGGAGCAAAAAGCAGGACAAAAGGCCTCTCAAGATCGACTGCGGCAGGTAGAGTTGCTCGTGCAGGACCTGCAGTTCGACCTGAAAGCGAATGCCAAGGTGAGAGCTTTATCCGAAGGCTTGAACGCGGAGTCCGCCGATGATTTGGCAAGACAATGGAGGAGTAACATCACCAAACTCCGGACAATCGTGAATCGCATCCGCAGCTACTTGAAATCACTGCCAGCGCAATTCAGCAGAGCTTCTGACAGGGCATGTGAAGCTGCGAAGCATCATGTTCTGGGCATTCTCAGTGCAACAAAGATAGGCAAGCCCGGCAGCCAGAGCAAGGCTCATGAAGAAGCCACCGATGCTTCTGTCAATGCCGGTTAGACAGGCTTGAATGGCTCGCTTCGCAGGCCATTTTGCAGTGGGCCTCTCGATGCTTACAGGCTGATACTGTGTTTGAGTCGGGCACAGAATCGTGGTATGGAGACCTGAGTGAGGTCCCTTCACCCATTTTGTTAAGCGTGCCGAGCAGGCCGACTCCCTGTAGCGGCTCTGTTCGGAGATCATGCGCAAGCAAACTCATCCATCCGGAAAAGGGCGGTGCTACCGGAGTCGACCCAAGTAGTAGCAGATAGTAGCAGGTTGCATGCTGTCGCGAGTTAAGCCCCAATATCGAAGGAATGAGCAGAGTACAGCTACTCCAAAGGCCCTCGTGGATTTCCTCCAGAACCGCGAGCGCTGCGACCGTTTCGCACCAGGTGCCAGCTGAATTGGTTTGCAGTTGTTCTGTCTGTCGATCGACGGCTTTGTGCGTGAAACCGAAGAAGATTGCATCATACATATGCGTAACATTGCGTAAACACACACACACACATATATATATATATACACACATACACATACATGTTACATATAGGTATATACATGTACATTCCATATATTTTACATCATATGGTTTGCACTACATGTCAAATATCGTATACCGACTTCAAAGTCGGTCATGAGCTGCGCATCAACAAAGCCCCAATCTTAGAGTTTACGGCCCGAAGCTCCAAACCCAAAGCCCCGAATTTGTTACAACGCCCTTGCTCGATCGGAACACCATGCATAAAGATTGCTCGATCGGAACACCATGTATAAAGAACCAAGAAAGACTCCCTTTTAGAAGACTGTTTGGGCCTTTGGAAGGACACTTGCGTGACATGAACATGCGTGAAAATATGCGTTCGGCATGTGGGAAGTGATTCCCTAAACCCTAAAGCCTGCACCCGATACAGCTTGCAGAGTGGGCACCACTTCAGGCCGCGACTTCTGAGCCAGAGCCAGCTGTGTGGGCAGGCGTTGCCTGTGTCAAGGCGATCTGCCGGGTGCCTGGTAGGGGCCATGTCTGGAGTGTCCTATCACACACGTGCAGTGGAAACTGAAGTCTCAGGTGATTCATAGCTGACACCGCGCTAGTCCATTTTGGCTCAAGTCTTGGCCCCCAGCCTCTTCCATCAGCCTAGCCGGGGCCATGACCTCATTGACTTGGCTCCGCGGCATCTGCGCAATGGGCGGAAGTAGGCGTTCTGAAGAGCACCCGTGGCGACGATCTGCAGCACGAGGGGATCCGGCAGCATCTGAATGAGGCCTTGGGCGGAAGCGTTCTGGTGAAGGGCATCGCAAGTTCGCGCAAGACCGCGGACGTGCCGAAGCACCAGGACCAATGGAGCAGCAAGCGGGTTGTGGAGGGAAAGGCGGGTGTGGTCTACCTGGAGCCCGCCGCAGACGGCGGCAACCTGGGCAGCATCCTCTTCGAGGATCTCAGCTCCAAAGCTGTGAAGGAGGTGGAGGTCGTGCCTGGGCGGCTCATCACCTGGGACAACCATCTCTGCCTCCACGGCTTCCGTGCACGCCACGACGGCCCAAGGCATACTCTGGACCAGCAGCCCTTTGAGGAGCCCGCTCAGCTCACGGATGTCGCCGATGCCCGGGACGGTTGCAAGCCCTGGTGTTTCAAGAAGGGCGCCTTCCTGATCCCCGGATGCCGCGGGTGCTTCAAGAAATATTATGGGAAATATTATGGGCCCTCTCCCCCTCCCACTACGACAACCGGCTTGAAGGCGGCGGTGAAGGTGGCTGTGCCGCCTACTACGACAACCGTTGGCTTGAAGGCGGCAATATCCTCGGATGTGGAAGTGAGGTTGGCTGCTATTCCTGATAAGACGGCGGCACCCGCTGAGCTCGCGGACGTCGATGCCGTCGATGCCCGGGACGGTTGCAAGCCCTGGTGTTTCAAGAAGGGCGCCTTCCTGATCCCCGGATGCCGCGGGTGCTTCAAGAAATATTATGGGAAGTATTATGGGCCCTCCCCTCCTCCCACTACGACAACCGGCTTGAAGGCGGCGGTGAAGGTGGCTGTGCCGCTTACTACGACAACCGTTGGCTTGAAGGCGGCAATATCCTCGGATGTGGAAGTGAATTTGGCTGCTATTCCTGATGAGACGGCGGCACCGGTTCCGGTGCAGGGCGGAGCACATGAGCGACGCCGCACTGAGCATGGCCAGCTAGCACCTCACGAAGTCGACGCTGTGCATTTCAAGCAGATGCCCGACGAGCTGTGGAGGCCTCTTGTAGGCAAAGAGCAGCTCAGCTTGATTCAGTTTTGAAGTTGTCTTATGCGCTCCGGGTCGAAGCATTCGGAGCGCGAGGGGCCAGCCCAACACAAGCGGCCGGCCTGGAGCTGTGCTGAAGCGCGAAAAAAGAAGCATCTCTCGCTCCCGCTCCTGCATTCCCAGTCACGATTTCTTCCAACCAACGCGCAAGGTTCATAAGCTCTCGGCGGAGCGGACACTGCGCGTGGCCTTTTGCCCAGAGCGCCGACTGTTTCTGCAGCACTTGTTGTTTGTCGTTAGCGTGGCAGCTTCTGTATAGTATAGTGGTGTAGTGTGCGCGACCCAGTGCCTATGCGAGAATGCGGCGCAATTTTACGCATCCCTCCTCCCAAGCCCCCCAAACCTCAAAATCCCATCCGTAAGAATCTTCAGGAGGCCTCTAGGCCAAATATATACACGTGTTATGATGAATTAAGTACTAGTAGTAGTAAATAGTAGTAATAATAAGCATAACAAGAACAATAATAGCAACAGAAGTAAATAAGCGTAGCTGTAACAAGACTACAGACGAGGACAATCATCCCAATATCTACAATCGTAGTAAGGCAAAAGCCAGAAAGTTGGAATATGATTATCCTAACCCTTCTATGGTAAATTATAGGGGATCCTACCAAGAAACCATATTCCAACTTTTTGGAGTTCCCTGTAACCGTAAAATCAATAACAACTCGGCTCCCGGAAGACGAGGTCGGTCCACGCTGCAGTCAACCCCGATCTCGCTTCCGGTTTCGGCCCTGGTTGGGGTTTAGGGCTTTAGGGTTTAGGGTTTTAGGGATTTAGGGATTTAGAGTTTTTGGGGTTAAGGTTTTAGGGTTTCAGGGCGTAGATTTTCATGGTTTTAGGGTGTAGGGTTGAGGCTGGCAGCAACCGCAATCCGTTGTGCCAATGATGACATGCAGTAGGTAACCTCATAAGGAAAGCGGCGTTCGGGTGGTGGCTGGATTCAAGAGCAGAGTCTCTCGGGTTTGGGCCTTGTTCAAACGTCGGCCAAGCCCATCCGGAACTCTTATCACGTCGCATTGAAAAAGAGGTTTCCTTTGTCCTACGCACCTGTTCATGTCGAAAGGGGATACCACTACACCCTAAGTGCTAACCCCTAATGAAACCCTAAGCCCCAAACCTAAACCCTAAACCCTACATCTAAACCCTGAATCCTGAACCCTAAACCTAAATCCTAAGCCCTAAAAGCCCTAAATCCAGAAGCCACAACCCTAAACCACCCCCAGCTTCGGCCGCTGTCCTTTGCTAGCGATCTGCTCAGATCGTTGCGCTCATGTGGGTGGTTGTCAAAATGAGGGTCCCTTATTATAATACGGCACCGAATATTTCGTGTACCCCAAACAAGGGACCCTATTTTTGACAACCACCCATGTGGTCCCGGCCGATCCCGAGCCTCCCTCGGCTGTAAAATCCAGGAGTTGCACCTTTATTCGCGTTCCTCGAAGAAGGGATCCTTAAAGGGTTCGTTAAAGGGATCCAAAAGGGTGCTATAAAGGGTTTAGGGTTGAGAGTTTCCGAAAGTTTGTGGTATCTTAAAGTTCCCAAAAGGGTTACTATAAGGATACTGTATTTATGGATTTATTTGGAGGGTTCGGACTTTCCGAAAATTCGGGGTACCTTACTTTGGGGTGCATATATTCAGGATCCTACTATTTAGTGTACTATGCTAGGGTCCCCAATTTTCGGAAACTCCCCTATGATCATAGTTGTAGAATACAAGCTATAACCATCTACTGGTACCTTAGCCCAGGAATAGATGATAGAATCTCTACAGCAGGAGAGGAATCGGGTGGGGAGGCTGCGACCCCAGTCAAGTTGCTTTCCGAGGTTTAGGGTTTTAGGGCTTTGGGTGGGACAAGACCCAACAAGAGGGCTCCGTTGGCGAGTAGGGAAAAGCTGTCACATCTGAATCCCAAAGCTTCGGACCTTTCATAGCTATAACTAATTATAACCCCAACTAAGATAACCTTACTTACAAAGTCGCATGATCCTGCAAGTATCGCTCCCATTTGAGTCGAGGTCTTTGCCCCGTGCGCTCGGAAGCGAAGCTGCAAGGCCCGGGCCTTGGTGGAAGTTGGGCTTTGGAGCTGCGCTTCTATAGAGGGGGTGTCCAAGCATGAGGCCATGACTGTCTGGTTCTTAGTAGGGAATAGGGGAATGGATTATGGAGACTATTATTGGGGATTAAGTATATAGGGACTACTGCAGGGATCCATTCATCCATTCCCTACTAAGCACCAGACAGAAAGCATGAAGCACAGGTCCACCGCATTCCCTACCGTGCATGATGCATGGCCCCGTTTCCCAAGTCCTCTTAACAACCAAGCCCTCTGAATCCGAATTACACCGCCCTAAGTGACACTCTCTTGAAGTTGCTTCAAGCCGAGATGAGCATGTCGTAATTTCCCCAATGCTGCATTCCAACCCCCATCCGAGCCTGCGCTTGTCTGTGGTGTCAGCACAGGTGCAGCCGATGCTTTGCCGGTAACTTCTCCTGAACGTCTCACTCACGGCTCAGAGTAGCGAATGCTTGGAGCAGCGTGTGACTGCATTGCTTCCGACCATCAGATGAGCATGCCTGGAACTGTTCTACATTCGCAGGCTATCTTTGAGGGCTAATGTGGAGGTTGGCAACCAAATGTGCCCAGAGTTTTGGCTGATGAACAAGAAATCCGCAGACAAACAAAAACATGCGGTTAACCGTGGACAGCAGTGTCCGCTGTTGCTGTT